ATAAAATAAATAGTTAGTTAATAGTGAGAATTGGACCTTAAAGTGTGACCAAAAAAAAAAAAAAAAAATGATTTCCCAGTTTTACTACTTAATTCAATAAATACAATAAAGAACCACAACCCCAAAATGTTTCCAGAGTGTTCTTCAAAGACTGATTTATGCATCATATTAATAGCAGTCTGGGAAAATAACGAGGTAAATAAAGAGTTTATGTACTTACAAGTCATGAGAAAGATTACACATTATGATTTACTGAAGGGAATGGGAAAATCACATCGGAAATATGCAAACAAAAACATTCTATATTACAATGTACATAAAAGTGAGCTGGACAAAACAACAGATGTGATATTCAGCATACATCAGTTAAATGACAGAATAAACAATTACATATATAATTGTGATAGACTGATACATGGTGAAATACAAATATTTCAAAATATTGTTGAAACCTTAAACAGTCCTAAGCAGCACTGACACTAATTTCACATCTTTGACAACTCTTCGTAATTCCATCCTCTGGTATTTGAAGCAGCAAATACAGTCATTAAAAGCACAAACATTGACCTCTATAGGCTTAATTTGTTTTCAGCTGCAGTCTGATGTAAAAGAAATATATATTACATGTATGTAAATGTCTAGTAGATAAAACAGTAAGATAGAAGATTTCATAAACCAAGCGATAAAATATTAATGTGAAAGGAAATGGATGTATAAATGCATTGTGGTTTTAAAAATCAACCAACATCATGCAAACCTGTACATATTAATTTGGTAATTGAAATGTATATGGCTTAAGGCTTTTATATTGACGGTCAGCGTTAATAAAGGTTCAGGAAAGTGAGAAAAACTGGTAGGCACAATAAGCACTGCTGTCAGTTTCATGTTTTGACACCTGATACTATCCACATATTCCTTAGACGGTGTATTATCTGTTTGGCAATCAAGCAGGTTAGGTTACATATGCCTGAAACACACACACATGCACTCATGTGACCAGGAGATGTTCCATAAACTGTCAACCAAAAAGCCAAATATCACATTGCAATATTCAGTAACTAAAAAGATCAACCAGCTCTGGTCTGTATCTTTTTGTTACAACCAGAGAAATTGTACACAATTTCATTTTGTAAGGTCTATTCACTTCATTGCATTAAAAAAGGTTTAAAACAAAGCAACAATGTGATTTCTTTTTTTTTTTAAATGGCCTCTTATTTAGCAAATATTTTATGACTTTCATATTGTTTGGCTGTATCAAATTTCCTTCAGACAGTGTGAACAGGTCTTTACTAGGAACATCTACGGATCACGCATCAGGCTGTGCTTATGTGGTGTATGTACAGTAGGGTCCAAATATGAGACCACTAGTGAAAATGTTTCTATTTTGCATTTTTCTAATATAGTACATTATCAGAATAACAATTTGAGTGGTTAAAATTTAAATACGTGCATGGGCTTTAGAATGCATATTTCAAAAACAGCAGCACTCAAGCTGCATGACCTCCACAAATTTGTGTAAAACTTGATGAACATCTTCTCCAGAATTATTTGAGATGATCCCAAGAGCATTTTGAACATCTGACTATCTGTACAGTGTCAAATGATTACCAATTTGATGAACAATTTTCACTTATTTGATTAGTGACTTACAACCTCACATATTTCTTCTTCACTTCAAGTAATGATGTTTCTTAGTTTTAAGTTTCAAAAATGTAATACCAGAATTCAATGTGGTCTCAGACTTCTGGACCCGGTTGTACATTATACTCACATGAGTGCATGTTATATACCATCAGTCTGTTCATTTCTGCATGGATGCATCTGTATGTGTGTGTGTGTGTGTGTGTAGGTAGCTTTATGTGGCTCTTAGTTCAGTGCTTCACAAAGGACTGCATCATGTCAATAGGCAGAGGGAAAATGATGGTGGAGTTCTTCTCCGCTGCGATGGTGTTGAGGGTCTGGAGGTAGCGCAGCTGCAAAGCAGAGGGGGACTCTGCGATCACCAGAGATGCCTCCTTCAGTGCCCGTGACGCATTCATTTCTCCCTCAGCGGCTATCACCTACAAACAGCAGAGGGGCGGTGTGAAAAAAAAACATAAATTTCTTGATTTAGCAAACCTTGTATACCACACAAAACTTCCACCCCTTAACCCAGTTTCAATTTGACGCCCACTCTTTGCCCTACAGTCATACTTTGAGTTATCTCATCGTTCCTTTGAAGCAATAGTTCACCTAAATATGATCACCCTCAGGCCATCCAAGATGTAGATGTGTTTGTTTCTTCATTGGAACAGATTTGGAGAAATTTTGCCTTAGATTGCTTGCTCACCGATAGATGCTCTGCAGTGAATGGGTGCCGTCAGAATGAGAGTTTAAAGAGCTGATAAAAACATCACAATAATCCACACAACTCCAGTCCATCAATTAATTCCTCTATCCATAAAAATGCTTTCTCCAGTGAAAAGTCATCTTGTCTGAATCAGGAGTGAAATGTGCACAGATCAAGCACTGTTTACAAGTAAACCAGTCTAAAACAGTTCTAAACAAATATGTTGGTGGATTTTGATGTGAGAGAAAAACAGGAAATGGACTTTTCCTCTGGAGGAAGCATTATTATAGATTATGGACTGGTATTTTTACACTTTAAAGTTCAAATGCCTTAATGATGGATTTGTTTCTTACAAACACACACTGAAGGTGTGTGGATTGCTTGTGGATTATTGTGATGTTTTTATCAGCTGTTGGGACACTCATACTGACGGCACCCATTCACTGCAAATGTTACCCGCCTCAAGTCTGGGACGCCTGAGTGGGTAAGTTAGATGTACAACTCTGGCCAGCACTGTAATATAATGAAAAGAAACGCTGTAAGACAGAGGAGTACTGGCTGCAGTCTTCGGCAATATTTAATTGATTCTGAATATTTTCTTTCCTTTCAATGAATTCACAACATTAACATTTTTAACTTTACAGAACAATCATTATTTGTTTCTTTGTAAAACAACACTTTTCAATAAAGACAGTTACATTACAATAAAGGCCTTTCAAAAGTTATTTGTGTCTTCAGTTCTGTAACATATTACTATCAAACACAATACATTCAGTTCTGTAACATATTACTATCAGACACAATACATTCAACTTTTACAGGATTTTCAATCAACCATCATGTATTTCACATCACCATAACATTCACGAGACAGTAATCTAATTTTTAGACTCACAAATGAATATAGCATTTCGTTTCATGCAATCCTCGTATTTTACATGTACGTCGCCATTTTGGCTCTAACACACGCATGTTTACACCGCCATTTTGGCTCTAGATAACTTCCAGTTGCAAACGCACATTTAACTCACTTAACCTTTCTCATCCAATAACAATCAACATTATAAACTCTTTATAAACATCCATGAACACTTTTCACATATATGTTTCCTCTTATGTCTAATACATATTACTAAATGCGTATTAATAAACAGTCTTACTCAATAACCCAACAAAAATAAACACATACATCTTTGAAACACAGTGTTTTACATTAGTTTCAACCAGTTTTTGAATCAGTTTTGCTCACCTGTAATATAATGAAAAGATTTAACTTGATTATCTCACCTATTGCTGGATCATCTCGTTGTGCAGCTTTGATGTTTTCGGGGGTGACTGGGGAGATACTGCCCTTGGTGCATATGACCCCTTCCTTTGGACTGTTGAGCTCTAAGGCGGCAACCCAAGGAACATCACTGTCAGCCACAGCTTTACTACCCTGCCAAACAGCAGACACAGTTTCAGGTGATAATGCTTCTGTGTGTTCGCCCATGACTTCTGTCAATTTCAGGGGGTGTCTTGACAGTGTATCGGCATCAACATTGGCTTTACCAGGCCTGTATCGGATGTCAAAGTGAAAATCCGCTAACTCACCTACCCAGCGCTGCCCTACCGCATTCAACCTTGCTGTGCTGAGGACATATGTAAGTGGATTATTATCAGTGTAAACGGTGAATGTTGGAGCATAGTAGAGATAGTCTCTAAACTTATCACAGATGGCCCATTTGAGCGCCAGGAATTCCAGTTTACTCGAGTGTAGGTGGTAGTTCTTTTCCACTGGGGTTAACGTGCGGGACCCATATCCAATGACACGGAGTTTATTGCCCTGTTGCTGATAAAGCACGGCCCCTAAACCTTCATTTGAAGCATCAGTGTGTAATACAAAGGGTAGGTCAAAATTTGGGTAAGCTAACACTGGCGGGCTTGTCAACATGTCAACAAATTTGGAAACCACACTCTGATGTACTGCAGTCCAAACGACTGGGGTTCTGGAGCTAAGTTGCCCTTTTTTGCTCTTTCTTAGTGCACCTCGACAACTGAAAACCTGGGAATTTTGTGTACTCTCACTTGTTCCAGGTGGCCGTTGGAGAAGCTCAAAGAGTGGCTTGGCCAGTCTAGAGAAGTCTTGGATATAGGACCTGTAATAGCTCAGGAATCCCAGCAGCGTCCGCACTTCCCCCACTGTGCGGGGTTCCTTGTTCTTCAGAGCCCTGACAGCTTCCAAGTCTGCTGGGTCTATTTGAATTCCGTCCCCTGACACCAAGTGGCCAACGTAACGCACTTGACTTTTAAATAGCTTGCATTTTTTTGGTCGGAGTTTCATTCCATGCTCCCTCGTCTTACGAAACACATTTCTGAGATGATCAACATGATCGCTGAAAGACTTTGAGTAACAGAGCACATCATCTAAATAGGGAGCGCAGCACTCATCTCTAATACCCTCCAAAACTCCTTCCATGCATCGCTGAAATGCAGCTGGGGCGTTCGTTAACCCAAAGGGAATACGCACCCACTAGTATAATCCCCATGGAGTGTTAAAGGCAGTGACATTTCTAAAGTCCTCACTCACAAATCCCTGATGGTATGCGCTTCCCTGATCCAGAATGGAAAACCAAGAATTTCCCCCAAGGCTGTCTAACAGATCTTGAATTCTGGGAAGGGGATGTCGATCAGGCACTTCAACATTTTGGGATATACACTCTTTGCATTTACCCTTCACTGGTGATTTAACTGGTTGTTGGGCACTTGCTGCGACTATTTTTGTTTGCTGTTGATCACCAGGGCCCATGAACATGACAACTTTCTCTAGGTTCTTGGTCAACGCAGATACTTGTGCAGAAAGCTCATGAATGGCGTCACGATTGGCTTTAACTTCTGCATGACTCAGGGGAGCATATTGCTCATTCACATCCTCCTGCTGTGTGACACTGGCAATTGTGACTCTGGGTTTGTATGTGTGACCTATTCGTTTTTGCCTTTCAGTTTCCTCACTAACAGACTGTGTAATCATTTCTAGAATCTGATCATCTGTGGTTGTCTGTGTCGCTATTGCTGCTTTAATGTCCCTCCGGACAAAGGTGTCCTACCCATATAGACATATGCATTTTAAGCACATTCATTTTTACCAACCCCTACACAAACAGTCAGTTAGTGATATAATGTCTACATTTCTCCAAACAAACTCATCTACATCTTGGATGGCCTGAAGATGAGTACATTATCGGCAAATTGCCATTTTTGGGTGAACTATTCCTTTAAGCAACTCGCCTGGTTTTGCTTTATGATCGAGAGTATACATTCCCGAGAGTCAGAACAAACCATATTTAAACCAAAGTTTTACTGCAAGTGAACTTGTATTTTAAGGGATAGTTCACACAAAAATTAAAATTCTGTCAAAATAATTTTCTCACCCTCAAGTTGTTCCGATTATTTTTCCATTCTATGGAAGTCAATGGCTACTGTCAACAGTTTGATCACCTAAATTCTTCTTTTGTGCTCAACAGAAGAAACAAACTCATACAGGTTTGGAATAACTTGAGGTGAGTTTGGGTCAGGTTTCTTTCTGTCTTGTATAGTTTTTTTCATGGTTTTTGGACACATTAGTGGGAAATACACCCAGAAACAGGAAAGGAGTTGTCACTTCCGTCTTCCTATGAGAGTATTGCGGTGGTCTTGCCTCAGAGCAATGAATGTTTGCATTCAGCTCCCACACACACAATGATTTGGTCTACAATATGTACATGCATGTACATGAGAGGATGATTAATATGTGTTTGCCAGCAAAATCTTGTTACATCCTTCCACATAATGAATATTATAATATTAAATAGTACACCAGAATCTTAGTGTTGTGCACTATACATAAGTCTTTAATGCTTTAAACAATATAATAAAACTATGTGAAATATGTTTCCATGTGAAATGAGTAACAGCAGCCCTTACTAAATATCAAAAGCATGTTACCTTAGCTCTGGCCTCTCTGGTTGCTTCAGCCTCTGCCGCCATGGCCCTCTGGAGCTGCAGGGGCAGTTTGACATCCTTAATCTCCACACGTTCTACTTTAATACCCCAGTCATCTGTGGCATCATCTAGTGTGGACTAAAGAAAACAACAAAGAGTCAAGTCTGAACACTTCTTCTCAGAGATTCCTCATGGCTCATGCTCCTCATGTTTGAAGCGCTGTGCCAAGTGTGCCTGTCATGAAGAATGTTCCCCAGTTTTTTAATGAGCGAATGGCAGGCCACGTGCGAACTGAGGAAGGCGCTAGCAGTGCAGTCGAGCTGGATAAGTCAGCGTCTCGGCTAAGCTACGGTGAATGCACTGCCTGAAGATATACAATGTCTGCTTGAATCAGGTCTAGCCCAAACCAATTCAGTAAGAGAATAAGCTCTAATTTTTATTTTTGGGTGGTCTATTCCTTTAAAAGTATAACTCCTGTTTTGTATGTGTAGTTTCATGTGTTACCTGCATACTGTGGGCGATTTCCTCCCGGTCAGAGAGGATCTCTGCCAGGTTCTTTGTACCCAGCACGTTCCTCAGGGTGGTCTGTGCCAACAGACGAGTGGCTGCATCAGCATTGGTGATGTTGGCTACTGCCAGTGTTGCGTTTTGCACACGGTAGTAGACTACACCATCTACACTCACTGTCACAGAGTCCTTTGTCAGCACCTATCAGGATGAATGCACAAAGACTATTTAATGGAAAACATCATCTGGGTGATATTCTGCAAAAACAAAAAAACAAGGAAACCACACACAAACATACACTACCGGTAAGAAGTTAAAATATTAAGAATTTTTCATGATTGTTTATTTCTTTTTTTAATGTTATCTCAGTATTATTGTAAAAATATTATTACAATTTAAAATAACTTATCTATTCAAACATATTTTTAAATGTAATTTATTCCTGTGATGGCAAAGCTGAGTTTTCAGCTTTATTTCTTTGTTATCTCAGTATTATTGTAAAAATATTATTACAATTTAAAATAACTTATCTATTCAAAATTCAAACTAAATGTAATTTATTCCTGTGATGGCAAAGCTGAGTTTTCAGCAGTCTTGAGTGTCACATGATCCTTCAGAAATCATTCTAATATGCTGATTTGCTGCTAAAGATACATTTCTTATAATTATCAATGTTGAAAACAGATGTGTTGCTTAATATTTTTGTGGAAACCATGATACACTACCATTCAAAAGTTTGGGCTCAGAAAGAATGTATGAAATTGATCAAAAGTAACATTAAAGTCATTTATAATGTTACAAATTATTTCTATTTCAAATAAATGCTGTTCTTTAGAACTTTCTATTCATCGCAGAATCCTGATATATCATAATTCATTATATTTTTATTTGATTAGATTTTTTTTATTTTATATAT